ATACCAGGAATTGGGCGTTGATAATAAATGATTCCAACATTTGGTCCGGGTTGCTCGTAGAATCTATAAATTTTTTACCTCATACGAATATTCTTTTATATGTATATGTAATAATAGTCATAGAGTTGATTGTACACTTAGTATATCTAGTAATAGTTTTAGTGCTCTCCCTACACTTTACTAGGTTTATCAGAAAGGTATCATTATATACTATTTATACAATAATATATACTATAAAAATGTTATTTATTAGAGACCTTGAAGTATATGATATATTTATATTAAGTCTTCAAAATATACAACTGAGTTAACTTAACTGAAAACACACGATCTGTTAATGTCTCAGAATAAGTTTAGCACATCTCATTCGTTAGTTTAGATACGTTTTTTTTTATCTCGACGGCTTTGTTGTATCTGTTTTGTGTTTTGTTTACAAACAACTCTTAGTTACGGCGTATCGTATTTGTTATTCTCTTCAAATATTTTTACAATTTTTCTGTAGTTTTTTCCCTCCTACCCTCCTGCCACTTGCACTGAAGTTTAGAAGTGAAAATAATTTCGCCATTCCGTAAAATCGTCGCCCCTTTGTTTTCCGATTATTTTGTTTTGATTACAAGCTCGTAAATTTCATCACAATGGAAAAGTTGCTCACATTCTGTACACAAATAGATGTGTTTATTATCTGTTTTCCTTCGCCTCTCTTCTATACAAAACCTACCAGTACGAAATGCAAAACAAAAAGGTTAAAATAGCAAAAATATAATATTTTATTTTCACAACAATGACATGCAAAAACAACTCCAGCAATCGACTCGGTTCTGTTTTTGTGTTTGCAAACGGAATTCTAGAATTATTAATTACCAAGTCAGGCAAAGATACTAGATACACGTGCACCTATACGAGCGCTCGCCCGTATCTATGCAGTTCGATACTTCGCATATCCACGTTCGTATTCTTAAAAATGTTTGCACTGTTTATTAGTAACTTTGAATTTCCATAGAGAATTTGTGCATAGCATAGAAATCTATTAGCAATTCATTGTGTACAGGAAATACTAACTAAAGTTGGATTAGAAATTTATTTTAGATACTCGTTCCGAAGCTTCACCTAACCTATTGTCTTTGTTTATATTGCATAATTTTTTTTAAAACAAATTAAATGATTACTTATTTTCACTTAAGCATTTTACAAAAATTCATATTGTGTTTCTCTTCATTATTAAGAGGACTAATTGGTCAGTGAATAGGCTATAATTTTGGTAATCAAAATAAACAACTCTGTTTTCAATAATAAGGATAGAAATGGTGCCTGGTCAGATGCCCATTTCAATGACTACTGTCAATTGTGGGTCCAAGAAGAAAAGAGGAATATGCCAATCATTCACTCTGTTTTTGCTCGACACTCGGCAGTAGGCACATATCTACTCTACGCGCTAAAGTCGTGATATCACCAGCGCTGGCATTAAAGACATTTCCATGGTAGTTTCACAAGATAAATAGGCAGTAATTTGTTTGGGTTTACCATAGATGTATTTAGATTGAGAAGCTTCTTATATTTGCTGTTAACTGAAATGGACTGTTTACTTCAAGCTTTTCATGTTTTCATGTCCCAATCCTTTTTAGACAGCTTGTAATTGATATTTTTAGGACTAGTAAAGATTTTACTCTATAGACTTCTTTCTAGTATTCTTATAATGGCTTTCGATCAATTTAATTTATGTTTAAAAAAGTATATTATTGAAAAACTGTGAAACTCAACGTCTTAGTTACCTAGAAAAAGGCTGGTTAAGTACTAAATACATACTATATGTATTGTAAGGGTATTGCGTGAACAAACACTGACGGTTTTCCAAGATTTTTAAGGCTATTAGGGAATTTAGCACTGAAAGTACTTCTAAAATCTAAAAGCTTATTGCGGTACCAAGCACTGAAGGTCTTTTAGCTACTTCAAGGCTCTTATAGAACGAAAATCTTTTAGCACTTTCAATTCTACTACGATCTTCAAGACTATTACGAAATCAAGAATTGAAGCCTTTCAAACTTTTTCGAGACTATTGAAGTACAAAATACTGAAGGTCTTGTATGATATTCAAGCTATTACAGTATCAAGCACTGAAGATCTTTCAATATCTTCGAAGCTATTATACTACAACAGTACTACAACGTCCAACAGTATCAACATCATCAATGCTATTATGGAATGACGTATTAATGGTCTTCTAAGGTTTCTTGGTATGGAGTCAAGCAATGAAGGTCTATTAGCATCTTCAGGAGTATTACCGCATATCAAGAACTAAAGGTTTTTTAGCATCTTCGAAACTATTACGGAATCAAGCACTAAAAATATTTTGAAGGTTATCAGTGGTGTATAGGAAGCAAGCAATGAAGGTCTATTATCATCAATTTTATTATCATATTAAGCTCTAAAAGTCTTTTAGAAAGACGATGTTTCTAGTTATGAATATGATTATCCATCTAAGTATTTAACAAAGTTCTTGGTGCTCTCTTGAGTGTTGAGATAAGTTATTTATTTTTGATTTTATATCGTTTCTTATAAAAACAAATTGATTGGAATAAAATCAATTTATTTTAGAATAAACTATTTTATTTCTTTAATATATGATTGATTGAAATGATTGAATAATTGGTCTTTACTCATTTTTTTATAAATAATTAAATTTTAAAAAAATATTGGTCTGCAAAAAATATAGTAATATAGTATATAGTATAGTTTTTATTGAAAAAAATAGTTTTTTTTAAAAAAATATAGTTTTTTTTAAAAACATATAGTTACTATAAAAGAACTATGGTTTTCATAAAAAAAATATAGTTTTTATTAATATAAAATTAAAAGCAACAGGTGATTTAAAAATCATCACACTATTTATATAAATAAAACTTCTACTTTTATCTAATAATTTTCTGTTAGCATTTAGAAAAAATATTAATTTTTTCTATTCGTTATTTGTTATAATATATAATTATTTAATTTAATTACTTTATTTTATAAATAAAATGTATTGTAATATATTTTATTACTGTGAGGTTTAAAACTCAAAATATCACTCAATTCACGAAATTTCTCTTAAAAACTTATTTTCCTCTTTCTCTTGTCGTATAGACAAAAAAAAATGATTTTAAAATAAAATTGCCATAGTAACAAATTCTGAATTTTATTAAAACTGGTTTTTGACGCGATCAACAATTATTAATGAACAAGCATGCAAAGCAAAAGCCGGCCGCTACAGAGAGTAGTAAATGCAAATGTAAACAGAGTGAAAAAAAATGTAATTTTCCCATTGAACTGAGAGTATGCGTGTGTATATACAAATTTTGAGTGCCCTACCAAAAATTAAATTATTTCCCCTAAATAAACAAATTTAAGAGTGACTTGAAAATACTCATTTTCCATTTAAAAATGTTTCAAAAAAACATAAAATCGGAAAATACAATATAGCACTCATGCAAACAAACGCTCTCTTTGCGTTTGTAAATTTGCTGTTTTACTCTTTACATAAAAATTTTTCTCCTTCTAACAACAACAACAACAAGAAAGCAAAGAAAAACGGCAAGAGCAAATTACAGCAACAGCAACAACAACAATAGCAGCAGTAATAGCACATTTAGAATCAAGCACCACCGCACCGCAACTTTAGCAGAGTTTAACAACAAACCAAATATAACAGGAGCACAAAAAACAACAACAACAACAAAACGACAACAATAACAGCAACTAATAACAAAACACACAGCAGAAATATTCTTACCACTAGCATTTCATTTCATTTCATTTCATTTTGTTGTGTTGTGTTTTTTTTGTCTTTTGGGTTCGTATGTTTTGAGATCTCTGTTGCGTCCTTTGCGCACATTACGTTTTGTGACGTTAAAGCGAACGGTCGCAATTTGACGAAGTGCGCGCTATTCTGCTCAAAAACGTTCGTACGTTTCTTTAAATTCTTTGGCGCAATATAGAAAATATTAAAGGAAATTTAATTCACTCACATTACAAAGCACAGCAACAACAATAACTAGAGAAATAAAAATTAATTTTTTCAATTTTTTTTTTTTGAGAAGTAAATAAGTTAAATACAAAGCAGAACTGTTGTTATTTCATTTTCTGTTTGCCGATTTTTTTTATAACAAATTTAACATTTTTTTTTTTTGTTGAAGAACTCAAACAAGACAAAAAAAAAGAACTGAACTAAACCAAACCAACAAAACAAAATCGCATACAAATTGATTTCTTTTCTCACATTGCAAACGACAACTGAACCGGCCGGCTTTGCCGTTGATCGAAATCAACTTTAAATGCAAAAGGACTACGCGAAAATTTCCAATTTTGTGAAAAAAATAAACATTTTCGTTCTCGTTCACAATAAAATGTTTTCAGACCAAAAACCATAATTTTATGAAAAAAAATATATATTTTTTTTCTTTAAAAGTGTTTAAGTGAAGTTATTGTTGAATTAAAAATAATTAACAATAAAATTAAATTAAGTAAAAAAAAAAACTAAACTAAAAACTGTTTTAGTTTTTGCTGTAATGTTTAAAAATCCCAAACTAACGGAATTTCAAAGTTTCTCAAACGATCAGAAACTCAAACTTAAATGTAGAAAATCTAAACAATTAAAGTTTAAAGTGAAATTTAATTTGACTAAAAATTATTTAGAAAATTCTTATATTTCAAGAATTAATATTAAAAGTCAAGCATGGATATTTTATTTTCATTAAAATAAAAATAAAAATAAAAACAAAAACACTTGTGACAAAAATAAAACAAAATAAAAATCTAAAGAAAATTTTTTAAATCCTAAAAAGTTGCAAAATAAAAAATATTTGACGCACTTTTTAAATTTTAAGTAATTTTGACAAAAATAATATAAATATTAATAATTAAAATAAAAATATTTATTCCAAGGAATAAAAAACCATTTTGTGAAATTAACAAAAAAACACAAAAAAACAGTTATCGACAAGCGTGTGAAACAAAACAAATAACGGTGCACAAATTTTTTTCCCACTCGCAAAAAGGAAAAAAATTCCCAGCAACAAAAAGAAATCATATTTTTTTTTGTGTGCTGCAGACAAATATTTACACTTGGACTACGCCCTGAGTGGGGTCTAACGCATACGATTGCGCTCGAATTTTAAGGATAAATTTTTATAATTGCCCAAAAGAAAATAGGTGAGCCCAGTGTTCAAAATATATTGTTTGTTTTATAATTATTTATTAAATAATTATTTATTAAATAATTTATTTCACTGTCGTGTAAATTTTATTTTATTTATATTAAAAATTTTGTTTGTTAAGTTTAAACTATTTTAATATTTTTATTTAACCAATTATTATTTAATAAGTGTTACTTACATATTTATATGGAAAAATAATAAAATATACAAAATAAAATAATTATTGATTATTATTTAGTGAGCATTATTTATTCCTATTGAAAAAATAAAATAATTATTAATCACTATTTATTGTGCGTTTTTTTTGTTTATATCAAATACTAAAAAATGAAAATAAAATAAAGTAATGTATTTAGTATTTTATTTATTTAAAAAAATAAACAAATAATTGGTTTTGTTTAATATTATTTATTTATATTGAAATTGTAAAAAAATTCATTTTTTATAATTTATTTATTTACGAAAAATTAAAAATAAAATAATGTATTTAGTAGTATTTATTTATATGAAAATATCATAAACAAATAATTGGCTGTGTTTAATATTATTTATTTATATTGAAATTGTTAAAAAATTCATTTCTGTTAATAAAAATTAAAAATAAAATTAGCAATTTTTATAAAATATAAAAAATTTTAGTTTCTTATATGGCAAATTTAAAAAAAAATTGGTTAGTGTTGATTATTTAATAAAAAAAAATTAACTGCTTTCAGTGCTATTTATTATTTATTTTAATAATAATAAAATTGAATTTGTTTCAATATATTTTCTTCTTTAATAATTGTTTTTTATTTTTTATAAAAAACAATATTAAAAAATTTATTTTTGCTTAGTACTTTTGTTTTTTTTTTTTATCATAAGTTATATATAATCTCATTATAAATATAACAAGATATAAAAATTATATTTAATATTATAATTTTTCTTTATATTGTGTTGTTTATATAAATATCGAAAATTTACAAAAAAAAACTAGCTATTGTTTAGTGTTATATTTTATTTTTTTTAAAATAATATTTTGAAACATTTATTTTTTAATAAAGTTTATGAACCATGAAGATGTTGATATATATTTGAATTTTTTTTTAAAAAATTAAAAAAATTGGATGCTTTAATTAATTTTATTTTGGATGATTTTATTATTTTTATATATAATTCTTTTTAACGAAAGCGTTTCACCTAAAACATCAAAAGATATGTCATATATATTTTATAAAGATATGTCATATATATTATATAAAGATATGTCATATATATTTTATAAAAGATATGTCATATATATTTTATAAAGATATGTCATATATATTTTATACAGATATATGATAAATGTCTTATATAATATTATTAAATATTTAATAAAAAATATTATTTTGTATATAAAATAAAATTAATTTCACAATAATTTTTGTTAGTATAATCATATTTTTAATTTAATATTTTTTTTCTGTTAACTGATTATTATTTATTAATTTGGTTTCAATATTTTGTAATAAATTTTTTATTATAGCTAATATTTATTTTTATTATTATTAATAACGATTTTTAATTTGGCATATATTTTTATTTTATATTTGGTTATTGTATTTATTATATATTATTTTAATTGTATTTATTTATCAGCTATTTATATATGATAAATTTAATTTTAAACATTTTTCAAACGATTAAATATATTGTACTATATTTGTTTATTTTAAATTAGATTTTATTTTATAGGTATTTTGTTTTTTTCATTTACCATTCAAAAATACTCTGATTTAAAATATTAAGTAATATCTTTTAATAATAATTTTTGAATATTATGTTTACTAATTATTTCTTCATTCCAATTCATTTATAATTATTTTAATATTAATTTTTGTTTATCGAATTTACTTTAATTTATATAAGTAACATATATTAAATAAATATTTTTTATCTTATTTGATTTTTAATATAAAATTAGTTATTTTTTTTTAATTGTTTTTGACAACAAAAATTTTTTAAATAACATTTATTAGGCTATATTATTTTTTATTATTCATTATAACTATCTGAATAATATAAAAGCAATCGCATAAATCCACTAATTTAAGTCACTTACTTATTGTCCATTTTGATTAAGATGCGTTTATAACGGTTTTCCGTTTCAAACAACATTTAAAGGAACAACCAAAAAAAAAACAAAAAAAAATTATAAGTGGAAGTGCATAAGACAGGTTTCCCTACAGTGCTTTTTTATTTCCTTTCTTTCTTTTTTATTTTATATATTTTTTGTTTGTTTCTTTGTTTATAAATGTTTTATTTTATGCCTTCGCACATTTATAAAAATTATTTTAATGTGTGTTTGACTTGCGAATTTCGGCAACAAAATGAAAACATAGACCGGCAATTATTTCAGCATTGTACGCTTTTTTATGTCAGTTTTTTTATTTTTTATTTTTTATTTTGTTTGTATTTCTACAAAATTTTTGTTTCATTTTTTAAGCTTCGTTTTTTTTACTTTTTTTTTATCATTTCTTGTATTCTTAATACTGCTGCATACAGTTTAGTGCAATTTAATTGTATGCTTTTTTTTTTCATTTTGACTTTATACGTTTATTTTCTTTGAAGTTTATTTTTAAACGTAGCTGTACTTTTTCTTTTGCTTACTATCGTTTTTTTATTTATTTGTATTGCTTTGAATTTAATTTTTATTTGTTGCAACTAGAGAAGTGCATTTTTTTGTCCTATTATTGTTTGTTGATTTTTTTCTTTTTGCTTTCTAAATTAAGTTTCTACTGATAATTAAAATGTGAGTAAAAAGGCGGTCAAAAAGTGAGTGATGCTATTTTTTTTGTTTACAAAATGTCATATAAATTTTTAGTTAGTTATTGCAAATTTATTATTATTTTTAAAAAATAAATTATAATATAATAATATTATTATTTTAAAATGTTTAATATTATAAAATAATTAATATTATTAGATTTTTATTATTATAGAATTATTATTATTGTAAAATAATTATAATTACAAAATAATTATTATTATAAAATTAACATTACAAATTTTTTATTGTTATAAAATTATTAATATTACAAAATTATTATTATTATAAAATTATTATTATTATAAAGTTATTACTATTATGAAATTATTATTATTATAGAATAAGTATTCTCCTAAAATTATTGTTATTCTCATAAAATTTTTATTTTATTATTATTATTATTATTATTATAGCAAGTTATTAATGTGACTAATATTTATTATAAATTTTGTAATAAAAAATATGTATTCAAATAAATGTTTTTATTGTTATTGATTTTTTGTTTTGGTTTTGTAATTAGAAATAATAGTGTTGAATTTATTATTTCTTTATTCACATATTGCTATTTTATTTTTTTATTCCTTTTTTTTTGCTTTATTTTGTATAATATTCACTTTCTTATTATTGTCCACATACCATATCTCCACAAAGTTTGGCGGCAACTCTTTGTTAGTTACACCCAACTTAATAATTTTCCTCATTAAAAAAAATTATTATCTAATATAGTGCAATATTGAAAATTATTAATATTTAGCAAATTATTCATATTTATATAGATAATTTAAATTTTTATACATAATAATCCATTATTTCGTAAGTTAGTTCAACACCCTAAGTTGTTTGAAGTTGCCGCTAATGAAATTTCTATAAAATCTTAAAAAATATTTAGTTTCATTAAAAAATTTAATTAAATTTTAATATATAAAATTTATTTTAATTTCTAATATATGATTTAATTCATAATATTTAGTTTAATTTATAAAATTTATTTTAATTTAAAATATTTAATTTAATTTAGTTTATAATATTTAATTTACTTTATAACATTTCTTTTAATTTATTTATTAAATCGAATTTGTTAAATTTTTATATTATAGCTATATAATTTAGCCAACATATTAGATCTGTACCTATGATATATATTAGTTATTCTATGTGTGATAAATATTTTTAAAATCATTTATAGTATATAAACTTATCGAAATATGAATTATGAAATATTTTTTTTTTTTTTTTTTTTTGTAAAACATACATTTATTTTTTGCAACTGCTCTTAGAATGAGACTAACAATAAGTTGTAAAATCTTATAACTAATTACATAATATTACAAATTCTTATTTTAACTATACATTGTATAAAATAAAATAAAACAAGTAAACCTTGTATCACGAACCTCACTTAGACTAATGGGTTAAATTTCATTGGAGAGAATGTTAGGTGGTTTCTTAAGAAAGTGGTTCAACTTTATCAAATTACTAAAAAGAAAGGTGCGGTTATTACTTAAAGTTGTTGTATATTAATTAATGGCTGGACGATCAGCTCTTTTTAGGCGGGAAGTAATGGATAAAAGTGCTAAAGGATTAACATGTTCTATCAGCCTTTTATTGTATTTTTTTCTTATATTGTCAAATTCAGCTTTAACTAGGGGAATTCGTAGATCTCGGTGTATACTTTCATTCCTAATATACCAGGGGGCACTAGTGATTATTCTTAGTATTTTTGACTGAGCTCTTTGTACAATTTCAATATTTGAAGCACTAGCATTACCAAATAACTGGATATCATAAGTCCATATTGGTTTTATGATGCTGTTATACAACAGTACTTTATACTCTAGGCACAGGGAAGATCTGCTATTAATGAGCCAATGCAACTTAGAGGATTGGAGCTTCATCTGAATTTTTTTGGCTTCAATATGTTTGCGCCAAATTAGTCGTCTGTCTAGGTGGATACCTAAGTACGTTATATTATCTGCTTGTGGTATGGGAATGTTGTTTAGTAAAATTGTTGGAGATGTACTCTGATTTAAGGTAAAAATGACGTGTCTACATTTTACTTCGTTAATTTTAATTCGCCATTTTGACAACCATTTCTCCATCCGATATAAGTGAGATTGAAGTTGGTTTGAAGCTAACACAGTGTTTCTGTTTCGCCATAAAATTGCCGTATCATCGGCAAACGTTGTGGTGATAACTGAACTACT